TTAAAACTTCCAATAATAGTTTACTCACAAAGTCAACTTTTAAGGCAGCGCTTTTACTTTTAAGGAAAGTAACTAGTTGCTTTTTACAGTGTGAATCAGTTTTGTCTGATCTCATGTTGTCTGTAAGAAACATCATTGACGAGCGTTTATAAAACTGCTTCGTTTTCTGACATCATACATTCTGTTCCCAATATAGACCTCCAGGTATAACGCACCCTCTCTTTCTAAAAGTAAAATAAAGAGACACTCTGCTCTACCGCACTTTAGGTCTGCACTGCCAAGTCTCAACTTCCTCATGTAAATATTTCCCTCTTTCTCCGAGAAGTGCATCTGTGGTGTGCTCTCAGAGTCAGCTCTTGTTTTTATCCCTGCAGAGACTCTTTATCAAGCAGTGTGTCGATCTGTAGTTTAACTGAGTCCCCGTCTTCACCTGCTCCACAGATGTGGACGTGGCCTTTTTGCTTATACTGTTTTAGCAAGCACGTCCGTCCCTACACAGCAGTGAAACCTTTGAATGTCTCTAATTTGTAAGGATTGCTTTTATTTTGAAGATTACATTTAATTGCAAGTTATTATCTTGCGCATTAATGTCTAGAGTTACTGCTAAGGTGAAGCAGACGGCCGTCTCTGTGTGTGCGCGCTGTCCTGGTCAATAAATTGTTGCACTCGAACAGTGTGTATTATTGTACCCCCCTCCTCCTGAGGATTTAATTACCTGTCAGCGTTCATAACTTCTGGTAAATGTCAGCTTCAACTGTTTGGTGAAATCTTTCTTTGACTTTCTAACAAATAGTACTCATGGTCACCGTTAGGACCTGTTTGCTTCCTTTCTTAGCCTTGGAGGGCTTTTTTTTTCCTTTTTCATTTTTTCATGCCATCAAGAGCCCCTTTCACACAGTGATAGCAGTAAATATCTGGAAAATTTCGATTTTACGAATTTACGATTTATCGGTAAATTTAAAAAAGCGCTGTTCATACGGACGAGCACGTTACGCAATTTTTCCGTAAAAGAGCGTTCACACATCCATTCCAAAATAGCGGTAAATTCTGACGTTATTGACCAGAAATGAGCTCTAAATGGCTGCGATTGTATTTGTAAACATTTGACTACATTACAAACTCTGTGGATGGATCAGTATTGTGAACAACTTTGACTTTCTAACACTTTCGCATGTTGAGATGTTCATAAAATGTGTGTGCTGGCACTCACCAGTTGCTTTATGTGCATACGCTACGTATCAAGCAACTGCAGAAAGCAGAGCTTGAAGGTAAACAAACAACGGCTTATAAGCGTCTTATCGATAATTATTTACATAGTTGGCATTAAGAAGGAAGGTATAAACGTTATTTGACTAGTATACAGCAGCTAAATGTGTCTGGAAAAATTCTCAAAGGCTTTTAATTTCATAAGCCGCACAGACATGAATGCGTCGGAGTGTTCTGATTGGCTAAAGTAGACGTCTTACGTCAGCACGTTCTAGACGTGATCGCAGTCTTTGCGGCAATCTTCCTTCTGCGTTCAAATTATCGGTAATGTTACAACTTCTCTTTCCGGAAAATAGCCGGAACGAATATACCGGTATTTTCAAAAAGGGCCTGTTCACGCATACAGACCTTTCCGGAAAATTGACAGTCATTTTATGTGAAGGTCTGTATGTGTGAAAGAGGCTAATGTTAGAATTAACTCAATACTTAAGCCTCAACTTTATTTTTGGCAAAAACGTAAAGTTAAAAAGCCCACTTTTGTTATCTTTACATTGGGTTTTGTTGTTCCTCTAACCTCTCGAATGTTTGTCAAAAGTCTTAGAGATTTTAATTTAGTGTTATTTATATAGCACATTTAAAAACAACCATCATTGACCAAAGTGCTTCACAATGTCTTAAATTAAACTTAATTAAATAAAACACTATATCGTTTTGGAAAAACTTGACTCAAATTGAACGCAGAAGTATACAACTGTGTCTTAAGCAGGGTTTAATTTGTGCTGGAACAAGCCGGATCTAGATCCAGCACCTCATTTTACCAATTTTGCAATTCAGGCACCCCATTTTACTTATTCTGCACTTCCTAATGTCTTGCCCATGGTGAAATGACTAGGAATAATAAACGGCTGTAAATTGTCAAGCTACTTGCTCTACAAACAATTATGACATTACATAAAAGTAATACTCTTAAAAAAAAACACACAAGTGTGCAACATCTGGAAGCATAACAATCGTTTTTCAGCTAAGTGTCAATGGAGGGTATTGAAAGTCTTGAGTCAGTAAGGTTTCAAAGGCATGTGGAAGACTAAGGTCAACACTTTGTTGGAAATTAAAACTATTGAGGAATAATTTGGCCTGGGTTACAGTGGGATTTATAACTTTGAGTTGTTCAACAAAAATTCCTAATATGTTATTAATAACCAAACCATTGTTTTCTTGTTTTGTTGAGCACAACAGTTTTTGAAGAATGTTGGAAACCAATAGCCGTCGACTGTCATAGTAGCAAAAACAAATACTAATGGGAGTTGATGACTACTAGTTTCCAACATTGATCAAAATATCTTTCCTTGTGTACAACAGAAGAAAGTCAAACTGGTTTGTAACAAGTATTCGTAAACCTATCATTTTGGGTTACCTAGTCGTGCAGATTATGTTGTAAAAACTTAATCTCAGACATTATTTTACCTCTAATTAAACACCCTCATTATAAAACTCCTATGAGAGATTTCATGGAAGCATCTGTGAATTGATCGTCATTCCTTCACAAATCAGTTCCTTTAGTGTTGGAGAGCTAAAAAGTGATTGCTAATTCAGGGCACACAAGTTCTGGTTCACCTTAAGCAGTGTGAAGACCAGCACACGGAGGTTCAATAAATGTCATTGAGTCTAATTAATAAGGAATAATGGACCAACTGGAGCGTTCTGGCATCACGACTGAACGCCGGGCTGCCGTAAGAATGACAGCAGAAGAAGTGCCTTGGCAGATGTTGTGTAGTTTAAAAGTGGTGACACGTGTTTACTCCACAAATGTTTTGAAGAGTGTTTGACTGCCGTGTGTGTTCGCTCTGTCTGGACATGAAACATGGTCTCCATCATTCTGTTTAATGTACTTTTAGTGCTACCCTTGGAAACTTTGACTTTTGCGGGGTATTGATTCCATCTGGATAATAAATTGGACTGTCAAACAATCCTGAAACTTCAGCAATCATAGTTAAAGCAACATTCCACTTTAAAATACAAAAAGGCTCCTTTTACAGCTACACTAGAGTTAAACTGTTGAGTTTGACCATTTTTGAATGTGTTCAAGCGATCTTCGTGTCTGGCGAGTGCACTTTTAGCTTGGCTTTGCATAGATCATTGAATCGGATAAAACCATTAGCATCTTGCTCAATAATGACCAGAGTTTACATTTTTACTATTTAAAGCGTGACTGCATCAGTTGCTAAGACCAACAGACAATCAGTAGCTATTTTCCAAGCGAAAAAGGCTAGGACAGGGGTGGCCAACCCTGGGCTAGGAACTACAAAAGGAACTTTGGAATGATAATACACAGACAATCAGCTCGCTTCAGCAAGGGGTGGTGTTGGTGAAGCTGAAAATTTGGTCCCATGTTAAGTCAATGGGATTTTTCCAAGGGACTTTCACCATTGTAAGTTTAGGGTGCTCTTTTGTCCCAGGGGTGCAACTTACACCCCAGTTCAAAATGTAGTTTTACACAGCTTGACAACCCCTTCATTTTTTTTAAGATCATGTTTTTCTGTAAATAGTTGGTTCAAAGTTATGATGGGTCAAATTTCGGTCCCATGTTAAGTTAATGAATTTATTCCAAGGGACTTTCACCATTGTAAGTGCGATAGTTTGGGGTGCTCTTCTGTCCCAGGGATGCAACTTACACCCCAGTTTAATATGTAGTTTTACATGGCTTGACAACCTCTTCAATTGTTTAGGATCACATGTTTCTGTAAATAGCTTGTTCAGAGTTATGATGGGTCAAAGTTTGGTCCCATGTTAAGTTAATAGAGTTTTTCCAAGGGACTTTCACCATTGTATATGCGATAGTTTGGGGTGCCCTTCTGTCCCGGGGTGCCGCTTACACCCCAGTTTAATATGTAGTTTTACACGGCTTGACAACCTCTTCAATTGTTTTGGATCACATGTTTCTGTAAATAGCTTGTTCAGAGTTATGATGGGTCAAATTTCAGTCCCATGTTAAGTTAATGGAATTTTTCCAAGGGACTTTCACCATTGTAAGTCGATGCAAAAGTTTGGGGTGCTCTTCTGTCCCAGGGATGCAACTTACACCCCAGTTTAATATGTAGTTTTACACTGCTCGACAACCTTCTCAAATAAGATTACGTGTTTCTATGAATGGCTTGTTTAGAGTTATGATGGATCAAAGTTTGGTCTCATGTTAAGCTAATGGAATTTTTCCAAGGGACTTTCACCATTGTAGGTCATTGCGACAGTTTGGGGTGCTCTTCTGTCTCAGGGGTGCAACTCACACCCTAGTTTATTTTTTAGTTTTATACAGCTTGACAACCTCTTCAATTGTTTAAGATCATGTAGTTCCAGGAATCGCTTGTTCAGAGTTATGATGGGTTAAAGTTTGGTCTCATGTTAAGTTAATGGAATTTTTCCAAGCTTTTGGGTTTTTGGAAAACTCAACGTTAGACCAGTTGGAAAAGATCTAGCAACAAACAGTAATACAGAATATAGTTTTAAGCCAACTTTTGGGCATTAGTAGGAGATATGTTTATTCCTAGAAAAATAATGTGTATATATATATATATATTTAAATAGCATTACAGACAACACATACTATAGAAGTCAGTGGTTACAGGTTTCCAGCTTTCTTCACCAAATCAGCGTTCAACACAAAGTCAAAGAGGTTTGGAACAGGTAAAGGGTGTGTAATTGATGACAGAATTGTAATTGTTGGGAGAACTATCCATTTAAGTCTGGGCTAAAGTGTAAATTTCAGCATAATGCTGGAGTGTTCCTGTACGTTAACTTACTGTAAAGCACTGTGACCAAAGCGATGGGCATCACCAGCAGTCCTACCAGCAGATCAGCCACAGCCAGAGACATCAGGAAGAAGTTAGTGGCGTTCTGGAGTTTTCTCTCCAGCGACACTGCCAGAATGACCAGGATGTTTCCGCCGATGGTGGGAACGATGACCAGAAGAATGAGCAGCGCTGCCCAATGCGAAGGCCAATCCACACTGTCTGTTTGCCTGACGTTAGCCATTCTGCCTTGGGAAGTTGTGCTTGTAATATTTCTGAGGGCTCGTCCAGCATTGTCACAGACTCTCTTCGTTCAGGGCAAGTGAAGCACTTCTGTTTGCTAGCGAAAATCCAGTTCATCGAGCAAAGGAGTTTCCATAGAATTCCTCCAGAAATGATGGAATCAGAGTCACGTGGTAGATGAGGTGTTGCCCATTTTTGCTCCGTCCTGCAGATGTAAACATTTATAGTGAAAGGAATCTGAGAATGATGATTCAGATTTCATGTGATTAGCAGTACGTGTTCCAGAGCATGTTCGTAATTAAGCAAGGAAGCAGCTATCAGGGATGATCTGTGAATGTTGACCATGCGCAGTCATTTGTGTTCCTATCTAGCTCAATCAGTTGGAGGCAGAAGACTTCATAAACAACATTTCTGTTTTCGAAATGATTACGCTTTCATAATTACATTACCTCTCTGAAGCTGCTTCTTCTGGCGTAACGTTACGTAATGTGAATTATGAACTATTATGTGCAATGTGCTGTCGATTGTATGTAATATTCACCATACTTTGTGTTATAGAAAGGAAGTTGATGCTGTAGAGAATTAGCAGGAACTTCTATTTAAGAAGCTCTGTGAAGCTTATCCATCCACTTTATTATTTTGTCTATAAACTATATTGCTTTATGTTATTACTATACAAGCAAAAATACGTTTAAGCTCATTCCCATCATGGAGGAAATTGATGTCTTACTTGCCTTGAACTCCAATCTGAGTATTTCCTCCACATTAGCTTAACTCCATATTATTCAATCCGTATTATTAATTCCGCTTGCTGGTTTTTCTTAAGTGAAACAAGCACTTTGTCACAATAAACCGTCTCCTCGCCGTTTATACATAAACACAAAGTACAAAGAAAACATTGTGGTGTCCAAATTTTTGGTGGGAAAATAATCCAGATATCATCTCAATCTTCGTTCTCATACTGAGGAATTTCCTTGTCGTGAAGGAGCTGGACGAATCCCCAGATCGTCTCCGCATCACCTATTGTGATCAGAGGTCTGAAACTTCCACATGTCTTGTAAGCCGTGCTTTTCATTCTGCCTCTGCACGCTGACTGGCTCTGGCTCTCCCTCCTTCTCTCTCTCCCTCTCTCTGATGAGTTAAACCTGGAGAAGCAGATGAACGTCTCCACACCGGGGTGTTGCCAGTGATCATGGGGGGTCATTTTCTGCAGTGCAACTGAGCTGCGGTTTAGATTTGTCAGTCACCGGCTTGGTTTTTTGTAGTATATGGAAGCCTGGTTTTGGAATGAAAAGCGGGGTGAGGTGATTTTATCTTCAGAATTTGGACTTTCCTTGGTATTATTTTTTCATAAGCGAGTTCACATTGGCTTTTTTTCTTGTAATTTTGACCCTTTTTTTCTTATTTCAGAGATATTATCACACAATTTTAACTTTTTTCCTTGGAGTTCTGACTTTTTCTTTTTAACTCTCTTGGATTTCAGAGTAAAAAAAGGCTATTTGGTCAATTTTACTTGGTCACAAGACCTTTAACATCCCAGTCTTAATTCCTAAGGCCCTAATATAATTCAAACAATCGTTTGTAGAAGCTTCTGCATGCCTAGTGCATGAGTTTATACACCTGTGGACATGGAAGTCATTGAACACTGGAGTTCAATACTGTGAAACCGGTGTCCCCAAACATTTGGCTGGACATCACAAATCTGAGTTGTGTTTTATAAATCGCTTGCCATCAAATTGTTAGCAACTAAGGGCTTTCTCAACACTCTCATCGGAAATATGCAAACTTGCCCTCGGTAAAAAATAAAAGGCTTGCTCTTCCTGTTTAAGCTATAAAACTCAAAAGCCCATTGAGCTTCTCTCCAGACCTGAACCTTGAAGCACCCAGCTAATATTCTTCAGGTGTCTGTAAGTCCAGATGTTGCAGGATTGTCCATTAAAGGATATTGAGAGGTGAGGTTCAGTGGACGACGGACATCCTTTTTTTAATACTCATCCATTTAGGGTGACTCCCACTTTTGCATTAACCTATTTTATTCTGGATTCACCACATAAACCTTTCTCCTCCTCCTCTTCTTTACCACTGTATGCTCAGTGTAGGTCTAGACACATCTGTTTTCCACCTTGCCATGGTGAAGTCAGAGGTTAAAGCTGAGAACTCCAAAAACTGTTTGTATATTGCACACATTAGGAGACAGAAGTCTGAACACACCGACTGCTTGAAACTATTTTATAAGTGATGGGATAATCCAAACTTAAATTAGCCATGAATGCAAGTGTGAAAATTGTGCTGTTGAAAAAAAAAAGAGATGTTTTTGGAGGGTCTTTGTCCTCTTCTTTTGCTGGTTTGTCGGATCACATCTGGATAAGGGAAACTCTGCGCGTTCACTTCTGGAGTGTGTCAAGCTTCGTCTTTTGTTTATTAAAGTTCACAAGAAAAGAATTAAATCAGACGAAACAAATTTCAGAGGGAGCTTTTAGTGAGAGTTTTAAAAGGCTGTTAGGTATTAGCGAAGACACCACAGGTCGTAAGGGTTTTACATAGGGGTGTCAAAATTAGTTGTTTCTTCGGTGCACCGCGATGCAGACGCGGACAATTCGGTATCGATGCAGTAATAACCATAACCGCTTATTATGTACTGACGTCATTTATCTCCTATGCGCTCTGTCGCGAGGGAGGTGAGCGCCGTTATTTACAACACTCAGCCAACTCAGGGCCGGCCTGTGGCATAGGCACCATAGGCAAATGCTTAGGGCGCTGTATATCCAGTGGGGCGCCAGAAATGAGCGCGCTTCAGTTGGTTTTGTTTTCGATTTTCCTGACACACTTTCAGTTATAGACGGCAATAACTCAAAAAACGCTTACCCTAAAAAGATCTTAAGTGTGTTTCCTACAGAAAGACAAAGCTGGTTATGTTTCACAGCTGTCTTTCTTTTTTTCGCTCGACATTACGAGCACTGCTCCGTTTAAGCCCTCGCAGTCTGCGTTTACTTTAGCCGGCAGAGCTCGCGCTGAGAGGAGCTCTCTGTAAGGGACCGTCGGAAAAGTGCTTATTTTTAAAAAAAAAAAAATTTTTTCCCGTTTTTCTGCTCCGCTCAGCGCGAGCTCTCCCTGTTACAAGGGCTTAAGTGTGTTTGTTTGTGTGTTTGTTTGTTTGATGCTGTCCATGTTTGTGAATGTGTTTGAATGAGAGACAGTGTGTTGCTGTGTGTCTGTGTGTTTATACAGACAGCATGTTATAGCCTCCCCCCTAAAATATAACACTATATATGGAAAGCATCATCAATGCACCGTGATGCACCGAGATATCAAATTGAACCGAATCGATGGCATGATAATCGTAACCGAACCGAACCGTGAGACCAGTATAGGTTCACACCTCTAGTTTTACATATGTTTTGATTACTTTTTGGCGTCAGCCTTTATTAGCATAGCTTTTACAATAATTATCCTTCCAAAGCTGCTTTGCAAAATGCTCAGATTATTGAGTTGCAATCAAAATCAGGAGTAAGGATGAACAAGAGGTCAGAGGTTTATTTTCAATCAAGTAATCTGATCAACAAAATAATTAAGGGAAACACTTTATTTTGATGGTGCATTTGAGTATTACCATACGTTCACACCGAAAGCGGCGAGAGCGTCCAAGGTCGATCTGGCCGCCCTGGCGACAACGCTGTTTGCCTTCAGCTCCGGCGGCGAAAGCGTCAAATGTCGCTACATTGATCTCGTATTGGGGTCATATGTAGGGGTTAGCATCCTTGCTTCAAGTCCTTAAAATACCTATTTTGTATACGATTTTACAATTTTGTTTATAATTGTACATATTGGGCTTTTTCCAGATGCATTAGTGCTTTTCATCGTACTACATTGATTTCTCCTTGAATGGCTATAGATTTCATGGTCTATAGATTGGCTGAATTGGTCTAGCAGCATTAAAAAGAGCATATTAAAGGCAAATCCGAGAAAAAAAAGCCTCTTAAAAGCCAAACGAGTTGTCAGGATTAGCTTGAATAAATGGCAGCGGGTGGGCATAAGACTCGAGGTAAGATTTGTATTTGTTCAGAAGGTTCCCAACTTCATCAACATTGAAACTGCATTTCCCAGCCTGCCAAATTGGGTTGATATCCAGCGCAACACGTTAATTCCAGCCTGATGAAAGATTAAGTCAAATCCGTTTTTGTTGGCCGTTGACATTTGTATGCGAGCGCTAAGTTGTGGATTAGCTTCCCACGGAGAAGGTTTGGTTATGGGAATGATGCTATTAGACCCAATTACGTTAACGGTCTCTTGTTAATCTGGACTTCAAGTCACTTCACAGTCACATCCTAGTACTGAGGAACATCCATGCACTCTCACACTACGGCCAATTTTGTTCATACTTAAACTAAATGAATGGTTAGGTTTCCCCTCTTTCAGTGACTTCGTGCTATGGCACGTCTTAAAACCTAGTCTCAAAGGATGGCTTGATGAGGAAAATGAGGCTGTTATTTAATTATTTTATTCCTAGATGGGCATTTAGACCTTCAGGCTATTGCGGTTACCACTCCTGCAGACTTAATCGGAAGCTTTACATGGTGTGAAATCTTTCAAGGACGTTTGTCTTTTACTATAAATAATGTAATCTCATTAGGCCTAACGTTCCCATTCCATATTTTAAGGCTAGTCATAGTAAACACACGTACATGTACTTAACTAATGGAAAACAAAAATGACTGTCCTGCAGTGTTTTTTATCCATTTAGCATGGTTTGACAATGTGACGAGAGTCTGTGCCTCACTGTAATAGTTTCCTCTGCATAAACGCCGAACAACGAACTAAAGCCTCGCATTCCTACACCCCATCCAAAGGCTTACTGTCAGAGAAAATAAACGCTTTTGAGAAATGGATGGTCGTTTCTTCAAGTGCGTTCTGTTTGTGTCTGCAGGACTCCAGAACAATGTCCCAGTGTGGTTTCTCTGCTGTCTGAGAGCTACAATCCTCACGTCCGCTACGGCGCTGCTATGGCTCTGGGCATCTGCTGCGCTGGCACTGGAAACAAGGTGAGCTTTCAAAAATAATCTGTAGATTTGC